CGCCATCTTGAAAATATTTTTATTTAGGAGGACTTAATGGTTTATGGCTACGTACCAATTTTCAAATAAATACGATTATTGCAACTCCCAATACTTCTAAAGTGGGATTTAGACGGAACACCCTGTATACTGACTTATAAGGAGCATCCAAAAACTTTTTTTTGTCTTTGATACAAAAAAGTTGTTCTTTCTTTTGGTTTTCAACAATTTATATTTTATTAAAAAATAATATCTCTTCAATTTTGCAACTACTGAAAACAACTTTGCAGCCAAATGTGCTAATACCTTTCTTAGCGTTACCAGCACGTTGTTTCGACTTTTTTGTGCTAGATGCATAAAAACATTGTTTCTGCTCCACTAAGACTTTCTCTATGAAAGCAGATAAAAACACCGGTGAAAACACAGTACCTAGAATTGCACATATGTCTTCCTCGGCTGAATGTAACAAAGAAACAATAATTACACAAACTACCGATAGATAAGAGAAAATAAAATATTGTAAGAAGCGAAAAAATTACAAAAATATCATTGTAGCCAAACTTACAGATAACTTCCAGATGGGCAACAACAGAAAAGACGACTTGTCCTGAGGATGTTGTTCCCAAGCAGCGGTATTCACCGCCGGCGGAGGGCTGGACATTGTCGATGTAAAGCGTTCCACTTCTTATAAAAGCATCGTTTGGTAATGAAGAATTATCCGTTCGAGCCCAATTGACATAAATTGGTTCGTTATCTACAAAATAAAACTATAAGTGAGCAATTTTTGTTTATTTGTCAGTTTTACCATAATTGTTGTTGATTTGACAACGCAACTCTGCCCGAGTCCCCACAGGAGCTGTGAATTTTTCGTCGTAAGTGTGTGATGGACGTTGTCTAGGTGGTAAATAAGTCGGTCGTCGTTCGTTGTTTCTGTAGTCCCCTTCAGGGGGAGTTACTTCGTTACCCGTTGAATCTTCACCTAGTCAATATAAATCGAAAATAGATTAAAAATTGTTATTGTTAAATAACAATTAAAATTATAATTGTTAAATATTGATTTGGAATTAATATTTACGTTAATTGATTATTCACTTACCTCCACGTGATCGGTTACCTACGGCCCCCAGTTAGTAGTAAGCAAAGATGAAACAAAAACAAAAGCATGAAAATAATTATTCTACAATATTACAATAATTAAAGTCTGTTTTTTCTTTAAATGGAAACTCCCAAGTCAAAATTTTGGTGAAAAAATTGGTAGCAGCTTGTCTCCATAGCCACAAATTTTCAAATTGAGATGTTGTCAAAATTTTGACTTTTATGAATAAAACCTGAGGACAGACATCAGACAAAAACTTTGAAGAAAGGTGAATAAAAAGTATGGAACCAAACGTTTTTCGCTTAAACTATTTATTATTTGGAAAAATTAATTGAAGAACGATAAAGTGCTATAAAAATGTGATGTTTTATCAAGAATAAAATATTTCGAAATTTTCTTTTGTTTTTGAGTTCTACAATTTTTCAAATTTCAAATGGCAACCCACTATAAAAACATTTTTCTCATAAGTTATGATTTAAGGATTACAACTATCTACTTTATAGTTAATTTTTTCAATTTTTTTTTACATAAATTGCAGTTTTGACAAAAAAAAATCGCATAATTCAAAAACAAAATAAAATCTCGTATTCAAAATACTATCACATTTTTTTATATTACCTTAATTTATATAAATTATTATTTCTGGAGGCAAATGATTAAAAAAAACCGCTTGGTTCCACACTATATATTCACCCTGTATACAGAAAAAAGTTCTTTATTAAAAGATACAAGTAGGTATTATGATGATTGGCAATAAATTTTGTGTAATTTATTGAAATGAGCTCAAATTTGATGCATTTTATAAATGTGAAGAAAAGAGAGAAAAAGTGTAAAAAACAGGCAATAAACAAAATAAAATTGTTCTCTGCTTTTTTTCTTCTTGTTTCTCCATTAGATCTTCTTTCTTTTTTCTATTATCGTTTTAAATGCTCTCATTTTTTATTTTTTATACTTTTTCTTATTTAAATTAAGTTATTTGACAAGAAAATATGTGCAATGTTTCTATAACTTCCTTTCTTCATCTTAAAATTAGTATAACTTTTTCTTTTTTATCGTTATACTTATCACTTTCTCTTCACTGCTATTTTATTATTTTTCTTTTGATTTTTTCTTAATTTTTTTACATTTTCTATTAGCTTCTCTAAAGCATTCTTCTTTTTAGACAAGGGATTCTTCTTTTTATTTCATAAGTTTTCTTATAACTGTATTTTTTCTACGATTTGCTTATTCTCTCTTCTTTTTTTTTCTGTACATTTTTCTCATCGTCATTTTATTTTTTTTAGTGTAAAAATTGGCAATAAAAAAGTATTTTTATTATTTTCTATGTGTATTTTATTTCACTTTTTCTTTACTTAAGTATAAAAAAAAATAGTTATCAAATTTCTAAAAACTGTTAGTGGTACCGAATTTGTTCCTTTTTTGGTGTTTCGTCTCTAAATTTTCTTAGACGATTTTTTGTGTTAACATTTAATGTTAACAAGAGATTATTTGGCATTTCCATTTAAAAAAAAACAGACTTTAAAATGTGGTATAAATATGGGAGCAGCTAATACCAACACCGCATAAATCTATGTGCGATTACTCTACAGGGTGATGAAAAAAAGGCGCCCACGATTGAAACAGGCGAGTCCTTTTTTATTGAAACATTGTGACCAGCATTCCAAAAATAGTCTAAGTAGATTCTTTTTAAAATTTAAACAGTTTGTCTAACAGCACAAAGCGGCAATACTGCACAATTTTCTTTTACTAAAAAACTATTTCACTCAGGAATTTTTCGTATCTAGGAAACCTTTTTGACTTTAATCGTTCAAATTTCACAGAAGAAACAACATTGAAGATTGATTTTTTTTTTTTGCTAACGTTTCCAATAATTGAATATTACTTGGACATTTTCTGTATCCTAGGATATTTGCAATGTTGCAACATTGATAAATTTTCTTTGGAGCCAAGAAATAGTATCCAAACATCTTCAATAAAGTTTATTTCAATAGACTTTTTACACATTTTTTTAAGAACACCGTCAACAGTATCAAAATCTAGACTTTAACAATGAAATTATTTTAAAACTGTTAATTATATAGATTTCTCTTTTCTAAAAAGGAAAGTCTATATCTTTCTGATAAGAGCACAAATCCAATTTTGGTCTTCGAATTCGTCTTTAATAAAAGATCACTTATAACGTGTGGGTTAACACGGGCGCCTTTTTTTCATRATACTGTATAATCTAGTGTTCTACTCTAAATCGTACGATAAAAAGTGTATTAAAGTAAGAAAAAAACGCAAAGGAAGAGAAAAAGTCTGGAAATTAGAAAAAAAAGAGAAAAAGTGGTAGAATGGAGAAACATCATAACAAATAATAAAAACAAGGTGAAAGAAGAAGTTAAAAGAAGAAGTTATTGATGTGATAAGAAGTAGGTTAAAAAAACGAAGAGGGTGGAAAAAGATGGGAGCAAGTTGAGCATTTGCAAAGAAAAAAATAAGGAAAAAACCTACACACTGATGAACACATAAAACTAAATTAAAATTTCCGAACTACTTTTTCTTCGGCCTACTGTTAATTTCTTTAAACTCACCCACAATGTCGCCGCGACTAGGAACGCTATAAATCGCAAGTTGAACTCTCTTTTCTGCAACTCCTGCTTGGTTTCGTGCTTCACAGATGTACAAATCTTGGTCTCTTGTGGAAAATCTAGCAATTTCGAGTATCGCTACATTTCTTGAAGCAGCAGGAAGTCCAGAACGTCCTGAAGCTCCACTGCAACATCACAATAGCAAAAGTGAAACAAATCAAACATGATTCTTACTAGGGTTCTGATAACCTCCTCCATTGCACTGACGGTGGTGGACTACCCCTAGCATGACACTCAAGTCTTACAAACTCATCTCGTCTCCTCATAATCACATCTTCCTCGGGTACAGTCCAAACCTCTGGAGCAATTTGGACTTCGATGCTTGCTGTTACAGTCGCTCTGCCAGCCTCGTTTTCAGCAGTGCAAATATACTCGCCGCCTTCGTTTTCAGTTATTTGAGTGAATCGTAAGGTGCCGTGGGACATTGTCTCAATGTTGGGACTTAAGGGTCGGCCGTCTGCCCTCGTCCATACCACTGTGGGGGCCGGAATGCCTGCATCAACCCGACACGCGAGAATTGCACTGTTGCCAGCTGTTATTGTTTGGGAGGCTTGTGGATGGACTGAAAGAATGGGGATTTCGAGACGGTTTACTTCAACGATGGAGGAAGCTTGAGCGAGGCCGAGGTTATTGGAGGAGACACAAACGTAGACTCCTCTATCTGAAACTTGAGCGTTTCGAATGTAGAGAATAGAACCGGATTGGGTGATATGTGGGGGTAGTTCGGAACCAACTCTCGTCCATTTGATTGTGGGTGTTGGGGAGCCAGTGGCGTCGCAATGAAGTTCGGTGGAGGAACCTTGAGAGATTGTGATGCGTTCGGGGCTGACTTTGGCGCTCGGTGGAGACGTGCTGAAAGACATAGAACTTAGTTTTCACACATAGGGTGACCCAGGATGCGTGCAAACTCCGTAACTTTTTTTCTATCAAACTATCGATTTGATTTTTTTAAACAATAGATCCTATATTTAATACAGAATGTCCCAAAATAAGATCCTATAATGAAGCACATTTTTTATTTAATACAGAATGTCCCAAAATAAGATACACAACTAAAGTCGCGGTCCATTCATAGTGGCCACTTCCCTGTGTAAATTTGTAAAAATTGAGTTGTGTAAATCTGACTTAAAACATCCATTTGTTTTTTAGTGACCTTTCTATCAAAAATGACAATTCAAAAAAGTCGGGTTAGAATTCATTAATGAAAACCTACGATTTTTCGTGGATTTTTGAATTCGCCAAAAAATGACAAAAATGACAAATTACAAATAACAATATTTTATTGCATCATTGCATGGCATTTTTGGACTATTTTGTAAAATTTGTGATTTGTGAGACAAAATGAGAAACTTTTTTTTTTTGAAAAAAAAATGTCGCAAAATTTGACACATCAATACAATTCTGAGAAGAATATGTTTCAACAAAATAAAATTTTAATAGAAAAAGGAGTAAACCACAAAGGAAACAATTTTAGTAATTTTTATAAGAACGGGAAAGGATCATTGACAGGAAGCAATGTAAAAATTTTGAGAAAAGTCTACTTATAGAAAATGCTTAAATAAATCACCATGATGTTCTACACAGTGTTGCAAGGTTTGGTGAAATTTCACCAGATCTGGTGATCTTCATGTTAGTCTGGTGATTAGGTAAAAACTTTTGTCAAAATTCTAATATCTGGTAATTTTTTTGAAAATAAAAAAAACTGTTTTTCCAGTATTTTCCGCGTTTTCAACCAGAAACTTAATTATTTCGGCAAATTTAAATAAAAAGGCGAAAAACCAAATTGGTTAAAAATAGTTCTGTTTGTTTTTTTTTCAGGATTTTACTAAACAAGATCGAAAATGACAATTTTTTTTTGTCTTTTTCGAGTAGAAACATAAGTAGTAGAAACACAATTATTTCGCAAAATTTCGTTTTAAATTCAACAAGTTCGACCAAAAACGGCGCTGTTTTGACCTTTTTCGAGTATTTAAGCATGTTTTTCAGAAATAAAAACACAATAAGTTCAAAATATTGCCTTGAATCAGGTTAAAAATTACAAAATTAAATCGAAAGTGGTATTATTTTTAGCTTGTTCCACTCAACTACTTCATTTTTAAAACAGAGGCGCAAAATCTTGTCCAAACACGCTTAAAAATCACAAAAACAGTTGATATTGATGTTATTTTGTTTATTTCATTCGATTTGACTGGTTTTTGAGCTAAATAAGACAAAAGTGCGTGTTTTTGTACTAAAATCACAGGTTTTTCACTAAAGCAAACTAAAAAATCAAGAAATTAAGTCTAGAATTATATTATTTTTGCTTTTCTCGAGCACGTTTTTCAGCTAGAAATGCAAAATTTTGTTAAAAACAAGCCGATAAATCACAGAATTAAGCCGAAATGCATGTCATTTTTGGTTTTTCCAAGAGTTCAAGCGGATTTTTATGCTAAAAACTGCGTTTTTTCGTGGACAAACAAATCGTAATCTGGTGAAAGTTTGGCGAATTTTTCAACTCGAATCTGTTGAATTTTATGTTTTTGAGCTGGCAACACTGTCTACACAAGCTGTTAGTCTTCCAATAAATGAGCTCCGAACTCCAGCAAGCATTGCTTCATGATGGAAGGCTTCCGTCAAATTTTACGACAGCAGCCTAACAGATTCCTTTTTTTTTTCGAAAAAAAAAAATCAACATTTTTTATTTTGCAAAAATCTCACAAATCTTACCAAGTAAACAAACTATATAAAAATGTTATTCAACGATGCTATGAAATATAGGGTGTTGTATTTAAAAAAGTCGAGTTATTGCCATTTGTAATTAGTCATTTTCAAAAAATCGTAAAAAACATGTAAAAAAAATAGGGGTTTTCATTAAAAAAAAAACAGAACTTAGTTGTGTATCTTATTTTGGGGCATCCTGTATTAAATAAAAATATTTTTGAAATGTGCTACATTATCGGACCTACCATTAAAAAAAAATCAAGTAGATAATTTGCATAGAAAAAAAAGTTATAGAGCTTGCACTCACCCTTGAGTCACCCTGTATTTGGTTTCAAGTATTATTTTGGCTGTATTTATATAACGGTGAGCAAAACGAAAATAAAAAAAAATATAGACAGAGCACTGAATTCTTAATAATAAGAGATAAAGGCAATGCAAAAATTTTATTGAAAACTATATTAAAAAAAAAATTCAAACATTTAGCAATTTGCGCCTCGTCTCATATTTTTGAAAATGCAGCGAATACGGTTAAAGATACAAGAAAAATATAAAGAAGAAAGTTGTAGAGAATAGAATTTCCAAGAAAAAAGTCCCGGAGATGATACCTCTATCTGCAATGGTTTAGGTCCTAAAAATGTTCAAAGATGCTCAAGTGACGAATACGTGTTATTTTTACCGGTGGTCAAGAGATAGAAAATTAATTTAAACCTAAACGGTTGAAGATAGAGATATGGTCCCGCAGACTTCTTTGTAGAGAATTAAATTTCCTACTTTGTTCCCTATATTTTTTTGTATCTTCAACCGTATTCGCAGCGTTCTCAAAAATATCGAAAACAGTATTAAAAATAAATTTTTAACAATTATCAATTTTCGTTCCGCCCAATATTTTTGAGAACGCTGCGAATATGGTTAAAGACACCAAAAAAGTGTAAGAAACAAAATTGTAGAGAATAAAATTTTCTACAAAAAAGTCCGCGACACCATTTTTCTATCTTCAACGGTTTAGGTTTAAATTACTTCAAAGTGTTCCTCTGGCACTGAATCACCTGTAAAAATTAAACGAATCCGTCGCTTGAGCGGCTTTAAACGTCCTTGAGGCCTAAACCATGGTGTCGCAGACTTTTTACTAGGAAATTTAATTCTCTACAACTTTCTTTCTTACATTTTTCTTGTATCTTTAACCGTATTCGCAGCATTTTGAAAAACATGAAACGGAGCACAGATTTTAAATTTTAAATATTTTTTTTCTCATATTTCTCGTGAAAAATTTAGTCGTTCGTTTGTCACAGCTTATTAAGAATGTGAAGCTCAATATTTTTGCATTTTTTCCAAGCAATTAGTAAACTGGTTGAATTTAAATTAATTTAAAACGATTTGAAACTGAGCTCTGAGCGCTCTCATTTTTACTCCGCCAAAAAATGTAGCAATTTGGTATCTCGTTTCGTCTCCAAATATGTAGTTCTCTATAATCAGAGACTATTTTTATGGTAGATTGGTCTTTACCAATAGGTCACTATTGGATGAGAGAATTATGGCCATGTGTGTGATTAATGGTCTTTCAAAACCACAATGGAATTTCTGAAGAAACCGTTTTAGAAATAATATTTTAGTTTTAAAGGAAGGTTTTGGTAACAATCAAATATGCAAATAAAATAAATCTATTTTAAATGTAATGAAATGTAATCACTAATCATTATTTGTCTAAATGAGAAAACACACTAGTTAAAAATTCAACATTCCAAACAACATCTATGTATTCACATACATTGCTGGTTTTGTAATAATGAATTTTAAAATTTATGTGATTTTTGCTTGTCTTAGTTAATTATTTGCATTTAAACGATTCTTATTTATGGTAAGTTTAAATTTTGTGTAAACACAATTATTTTTTTTATTACATAATTTCGTGTGGGTGTATCTCAATTTCTTTTCATATTTTTTGAAGCAGTCGAAATATTTTTTTAAGATTTAACATACGATATTTATATTAAGGACAAATTGTATAATTATTGTTATATTAGTACGAGCTAATAAAAATTACATGACCAAATATATAAAAAACGAGTCTACGGAACTAGTTCGAAATAATCTTCTGAAATTACCTATAATCTTTTACATAGATAGATTTGTTTTGTAGAAAAATGGGAAAACATCATTTTTTACAAGCCCTGGAGTGTTTTCGTATATGGCAGTGACCCATTGGTTTTTAATGTACTTAATAAATAAAATATAGAGCCGATATTTTAAAATTTATCAGATTTGCTTTTGGCCATAATTCACATCATCTGATTAGGTGTAGCAACGTACGTATGGATATTATTTGAAACTATTTTTCTCAAAACTAAAATGGCTAAAATATTCTAATTTTTTTTACCTTTTAAACAATTGCTGAACGGGCGTAGTAAAAACAAACAAGGAACTTCCTGTATATTTTTTTCACAGCCTATTAAGAATATAAAGCTCAACATTTTTGCATTTTTTCCAAGCAATTAGTAAAGTTGTTGAATTTAAATTAATTTGAAACTGAGACGGTAAAACGCTCTAAGCCCCCTCATTTTTCCTCCGCCGTATTAATTTTTTTAGGTCCAGAAAATCAAGAAATTTTGTATCTCGTTTCGTCTCCTAGTATGTAGTTTCAAATCTTACCCTGATGATTCGTATATCGTAACATCGGCAGTCCCCATGGCGGTGTATCCCGTAGCCGAAGTCGCTGTGCAAACATAAACTCCCGAATCTTCAGCTCTTGGAGATGAAGCAGTTAAAACATCCCGATTGACTATGAAACTGTAAGGTAGTGGACGTCCGTTTTGTCGCGTCCATTTGATATCGATCGCTCTGTCGGCTTGACACCTCAACGAGAAAGATTCTCCGCTTGAACCCTCGTAATATGGGGGTGATATTTCCACCGTTACAGGTCTACCACCGGTGTTCTCTCGCACGTAAATATCTACGTTAGATGTGTGAGTGCCGGCTGCATTTGTAGCGATGCATTGATATGGACCTTCATCGGATTTGCGAGCTTGAGGAATACGGAAAAGGCCGTTTTGGAAGTAGTGCTATAATTTTTTTACTGACATATCAATTTGGTTTGTCTTTATAAACTTACTGTTGGATTTAGTTGTTGACCATCGAGTCTTATCAAACGTAAAACTGGCTCGGGTGTACCAGTGGCTGCACATTGGATTTGAACCGTCTGACCTTCTTGGACATCCACGAATGGAGGTGTTATTACAACTCGTGGTGGTTCTGGCTGGGATGCTAGAAAGGGTATTTTTGAAAATGAATCAAATATAATAAAAAAATAATGTCATTTTACACGTTACACGGTAAAAAAAGTTGGATTTACAATATAAAAGATTACTTAAAAAAACTGTATTAAATTTGATAAAAGTCATAAACGACATGAGATTAGTTCTAGATATGGTGGATGCGCCGGGCAAATAGTAAAATTGAATAAAACAGTCGTGTTCTTATTTTTTGTTTTCTTTGTAAAAACCACATTGAATTATATTTTTATCTATAGTCGATTTCAATGACATCCGTGCTGTCAAAATGACAGTATGTTGGTATCACTTGCTGTTTCAATTTAGTAATTTTGAATTTCTTAATTTGGCAATTTAGCTTGACGTGGAAAATTGACAAATTCAAAATTATCCAACATTCTTGACAAATAAAAAAATATGGATTTGGAAAAGCCTGCAAGGGTTTTACTCCCCGCGCGAGAAATAAACTATTGCCAAGAATTGTTTGTTGTAATGTTTATTGTTTGTTGGCGTTTCACGAAATATAAATTTTCTTTCACCATAACCTCAACATCTCGTTTGACACTTTTGTAACTAGACGTTGCTTATACTCTGAACACGATTATGAATTTGTGCGTAATATATTCTTATAATTTGCACTAACGTATTGAAAATGATACTGACAACTCAGATGCCATTGAGTTACATTAAAAAAAAACGGCAAATGTCAAAAAAAAATTATCAATTTTTCCATGGTGTAAATGTGGTTTATTAGAAATAGGTTAACATATTTTGATGGCAATTTTCCTACCATTTTCCAGGTGAGCGATGATTCTGGCTTTTTCTACTTCACTTAAATGCGGCATTACACAAGTTGGTATAAATTTAATGACATTGATAGAAATATTTTTGATAGGTTTTGTCAAGTTGACATTTGACAACTAGAACCGTATTTACATTTCGAAAAATTTTATTTCCCGTTTTTTTTTAATGTAGCTGTAGGTTGCTATAACTTGATAATATCACTATAGTATCCAAAAATTTTCTACTGAAAATCATGGGCGTCGTTACAAATTTTTTTAGAAAAGGGTTTAAAAATACATATTTTATTGCAAACACAAAAACATGTTATACAAAATAGGAACATAAAACCATATTTTTTCTAACGGAAATTATAAATGAAACCATAAGACAGGAATCTCTAAAACCATAAATTGGAGGATAAAAGCTAAAAAAATATAAAAAATTAAAAAATATGCAAATTATAAAAGTTAAGCATAAAATAACACAAATCAGTAAATAACATGAACTAGTAAATACTAAGAAAAATGTAACACTTTGAAATCAAAACATAAAATAAAAACTCTTTAAAATACATTCAAAAAAACAATAATCAATAGAAATAAAAAAATTACAGAATTAAAAGTTTTAAATTTCTCAACCAAAATAGTCTATGATAAAAAAGTTAAAAAATGTTAAAAAAAACAAGTTGCAAAATGAGCGTGTTTTTTACTAGACGTGTGCAAAAAACAGCCATTTTGAATCGTGTTTTATATTTTTTTTTCCAATTTGGTTGTGAAAAGCATAGGCATCAAATTCGAATTTAAAATCTGTAATTTCATAATGTCATATTTTATAACTAGTGATAAAATTAAACAATTTGACAACTAAAATTACATATCACAACTGTTGCTTTTCACAACAAAATTGGAAAAAAAAATAGTTTACCGCTAACGGAATAAAACTTATTCCCGAAAAAATATATTAGGCTAACTTCCAGGGGGGGCACATGGCCCACCTTGCCCCCTTCAAACCACGCCCATGCTGAAAATTGTTTTAAGAACAGCTTTTCAAGAAATAGCAAAGCGTAAATATTTTGATTTAGATTTGGTATTTTTGTCACAATTAAATACTGAAACTCTAATGTCGGAGGTGTTTCCGTTTATTTACCATCAGAAATGTAAAAATTTTCACCAAAATAATCATGTTTGTTGTCAGAATATGTCAAATAGTTGTGACTTGTTATCAAAATTGTCAGTATTTACAAACTCTAAGAAGACATTAAATGCGCACCACCAACGAATTCAATTGCAACAGTTGTCAACATAATTTACTTTTTGGAATAATAGCATTTACTTTACTTCTGTTTGTTCTCTACATGTTATTAAAAGCGAATATTTAAGTAAGTTTAAATGTTACCTGTCTGGTTCAATGCTTTTGGCAATAATGCTAAGGCATGTAATTAAGGAGATGGATTAGTGGAAACAAGAAACCAGTTTGAGAAATACTTACGTCCTACAGTAACTGTTATATCTTTGCTTTCAATAGCATAACCATCGGTTGCTTCGCAGATGTATCTTCCAGAATCGGACACCTTCAAGTTTGTGATGACTAAAATTCCTCTTCCGTCATCGATGGCATGAGCCGGGAGTCCAGCACCGTCTTTGGTCCATGTCACTCTAATTGGTCTAGGCCCCAACAGTGATCGTGCACTACAGTTGAATCTAACAGTGCTACCAACTTTGTAAATCTCAATTACGGGAGCTACAATTGTTATTTCCATCGTAAGTGGATGTGGAGTGGAATAAACCGGTCCCGGTGTTGTAGTCACATTCCCGTCTAAAAATGCGAAAAATCATATTAACAAATGAATAGGGATTCTTGTTATGTTGTTAAATACACACAAAATATTAGTACCAATGCGTGGACGACCACATCGTTATATTGTTAACAAAAATAAAATCGTATTTAATAACTCCACCTACTACCAAGAACGATGAACACTAGAAAACAAGAAGCTAACTGATGGACTCAACTGAACAGTACCCTTTCAAATATGGATAATTAAAAATGGAATTTGAAAGAATACTTGTCCAGTGTTCTACGTTTTTGAAGACAGTTCGAACCTGGATTCACCAGTGAAGTTACCGTGCCTACAATCGTACCGTCACTGGTCGAAATAACACACTGTATATGGTGCGCGAAACAATCATTTACTTGATAATACCAGATGGAGCTTCCATTCTGTGATACTTCTGAATTGACCGCCACTCCATTGTCACGGAATGTGACATTTAGTATGTCCATGCTCTTGTATGTACAATGGAATAAAAAATAACTGCCAACTTGTGCTTTCACTTGCGATGGGGTTAACTCCAAGCCGATTGTTCCAACTAAATGTTAAGCTTTGTGTAGCAAATTTATTGATGGTGTAGAACCTCGATTATCACTGATCAGCTTATAAATAAGCTACAAAAAGAAAATCGAGATTCTACTGTAGCTAAATTTGAGTGTTTTACTGTACCTTCAGCAGCAAGTCACAATTATGTGATATCAAAAACCAATTTGCGGAATTTTTATAAATTCGGCAATTACAGACAATTAAAATTGTTTTATTTTATAACGGGTGTTTTTTTAATTTGGCGTCAAAGCTATCTATGAAAGTTTGATTGTGAACCAACCATCCGACGTCTGTTCACAATACACTCCAACTATGGAGCCAAATTTAATTGAACACCCGTTATATACAAACTGTTTCAGAAGTAGGTGACCTGTGAAAAAAGCTTCCATCAAGCTTAGACACTTTTTGTTTAGGATGTTTTCAAAATGTTTTATTTCTTTTTTTTGAAATTTTTTCCAAAAAAATATTCATTTTACCCATAATATTTAATATAACTTATACAGTGAGCGGCAAAATTATGAAATAACTTTATTTATTAAAACTGAAAATATTTTGTTTGGACAGATCAATTTCCTTTTTAAAAAATACAAACTTGTTTGTTTTTTTCACTACTAGCTGTAAAAGATACCATTATTTAGTTTGTTGAGAGGTTGTGAAATTGTTTTTCTCTCCTAGTAGTCAATAATCATTTTCATTATAGACCAAGGGCTATAATGTATTAGAGGTGGGTAAATGCCAATGTTGAGGAATATTATTATTATTGAAAACTATTACCATCACAAGTATTAACGCAAATATTTCTACATAAAATTAATGCAAAATTAAATAAAAAATATTTAAACTTCCTCATTAAAAACATTAGAATAACCCCAACTTTAATACTTCTATCTATGTCAAAACTGTCAAAACAAAAAATGTGTTTATTTCATGTTGAAATCCTACCGATAGTAGGACAAATTTTAATACTTTTTACCTTTTCTTTGCAGTTTCTTTGTTATTTTAACAAATATTTCATATTATGAAGTTAGAAAATTCCTTTAATAG